AAATTAAGGACGAATCGGCAACAAGAGTCCTAGAAGAAAAGAATACACAGGAAAGGGAATTGGAGGAGAAGAAGAACTCCCGCTTGCGCAGGATACCTTACGTGAGAGGGAAACCAATTCCCTCCCCTTACACGTCTCTTTTCTTTGTTTTCGTTTTCTTTTTAGATTCAACTTGCTTCCATGAAGAATTCTACAAGGTTTGGTATTTAGATTTCAAAGAAAAGAAGAATTCAACAAGAAGAGAAGGACTCAAGTCCCAACAGGAATCGGCCAAGAAAGATCTCTCCTAGCCGAATTCCTCTTCACATCAATTCCAAAACCACAAAATTCAAGCATCTCCAACAAAAATTCTGCAACAAAACCCAATTAATTAATAAAGATCCAAGCCGAGAAGAATTAAACCACTCAAGTTCGATTGGGATTCATCCTGCCATCCAAGAGAGAAGACTTTACGTTTTAATTAAAGTTTGCTTAGTTTATTATTATTTTAATATAATCGTAGGTAGAGTTGTGTTAAGTGCTTAACTAGGATTTTAATTACCATTTTCTAGCAGGATTCATAAAGTGAATGCTTATATAAAGGTCACCACCCTTCAGTTGTACGCACTCAAATTCAGATCAATAAAAATATTCAGATTAGCTTTTTTGTTATTTGTAAGTGTTTATCGAGAAGCTCTTCAACCGTCTTATTGAGGTAAGAATTTGATCTACTTATTGAGGTAAACTCATGGCAATTTTTTAATTCTAATTTCTTAATTTTCAGTTACTTTAGTTCGTCTTCACATAGTTGATTACGGGTTAAGTAGGACGAATTTATTTAGAAATTTAAGTTTCTGCATGCTGATATTATATATATGGAGTTTTAAATTGTATTGTTGATCCCGGGTTCTACATCACTATCTTTAGATGGTTTGGGGTTATGGTCCTCGGTGGAGATGAATATGGCTTTATAGGATAAGTAGTTGTTGAAGTTCATGAAAAAGGAAAGAGTGCTTTAGAGAAGGGTGACAGCAAAAAGATTTGGTATTGATGAGAGAAGTTGGCTTACTAAGGCGGGGTCAAGACCACATGAGAAATGATTGTAGAAAAATATTAAAGTGAATTCAAATAAGTTTCAGATTTGCATCAGTTGGAAGGTTGTCAATGGACACAGAGTCAAATTGTGAAAGTATCTGTAACTGGAAGGCGGTACCTCAGAGACCAATACACTTAGATTTTTGCCATAGCTCAACAAAGAGAAATCAAAATCTGACTCTTTCGTGAAAGTGGGCCGGGTGCGGGGGGGAGAGGGAGAAGGAATTTTAGGTTTTTATATTGAGAAAACTCAATAACTAGGAGATCTATGAATGTGAAAATTTTTTAAGCACTCTATCCCTTGTGGTTCTAGACAAGAGTAATAATAACCCTCAATGGTGTCTAACAGAGAATGGATCTTTTTACGGTCAGATCATTATATAAGTAGTTGTTCAAACATGAAAACAATGGTACTAGATTCCTGATCAAACAAATTTTAGCAGGTTAAAGTTCCACCCTGTGGTTAGGATCTACTTTTGACATGTATTTCACCAGTACTAAACTTTAATAAAAAAAATTAATTTATAAATAATTATGGTAGAAATTTAGACAGAAAAGTAATTTTGAATGAGAAAATTATAAAATATGGGGAAAGAATCTGGAAATAATAAATAGTAAAGACAAAAAAGAAAATTAGTGAAAGAACGAGAAAGAGAGCAAGAGAGAGAAAGATATTTTTAGAGAGAGATAGTTAGAGAGAGAAAGAGACTATTAGAGAGAGAAAGAGAGAAAGAGACCGAGAGAGAGGGAAAGAAAGAATGTTAGAGAGAGAGATAAGGAGAGAGAATGTAGTGAGAGAGAGAGAGAAGCAGTCAAGAAAGAGGATAGTCAATGAGAGAGAGATGCAGCCAATAACGAGGATTGTGATATCACAAAGGTGTCAGATACAGAAATATATTACGAGTGCATGATAAAAATTGTATACAGCGGAGCAAATTATTATAAATCCCTTATCAAAATACATGAGTTCCAATTATACATAACCTAAGTCAGAAGTAACAAAATACAAAATATCAAAATACTAAAAATACAAAAGGATCACTTTTATCATTATGCGATTGGACTCATCAGAGTGCGGGACAAGTTATGCACTCCAGAGTTGTGGATCCACGGGATCCTCATAAATTTCAAGGGGTATGTCAGCAGTCAGTTCCTCACTATCTTTCTCATCTGAGGAGGTGTATAGAAAGGACGAGTTTCATATATTCAGTAAGAAAAACAGTATTTAAATATCGTAAGATTTTAAAAGTGAATAATTATATCATAAAATACTTACTATCAGATCGCATCAGAGTTCTATCTTAATTTATGAAAATAATTTTATTTATTAAAGAAAACATAATATCATAATCACAACAATCAAAATCAAATATCATACTAGACAATAGAGAAAATCAAATATATCATGAAATGCTAAGATTTTAGTGTCATATTTCGCGAAATTGTTCCGACTTCCATCTTTAAGGGTGGATACGGATTTCCAACTACTCATGTGAAATGACCGGATCAGATATAGATAAAGGCAATTTGCCCAGGTACATTTTCGGTTTGCCAAAGTATGCTACGATCTATGACCACGGTCATACCAACCACTATGGTTCTATCAGATATTCTATAGTCACGGCAGTACTTAGCCAAAAGTGACCCTTAATAGATATTTGTGTCACCGCTCTCATCAGAGAATACACCGTCATCTACAGGGAGCAGTTCTTTCACGTCTTTCTAGACTATATGGGGAATAAGAAACAAATACCCTTTAAAAATAAAAAATCTAACGAGACACTTGATGCATTATACATGTCAATACAGATACATATATTTCTCGGACCATTCAAGCTCATTCCTCTTTTTCTTTCTTTCTTTTCTTTTATTTTTGTTATATTTTTCAAAAAATTATCACCAAGTGTCTATAAAATTACATAGCATGCTTGCAATTATAAACAAATCAATTTTTAGAACTACTAAACACGAAACATCCAAAAACACAAACATAG